GGAGGCTGAGGCAGAAGGATCGCTTGAGCCCAGGAGTTTGAGGTTGCTGTGAGCTAGGCTGATGCCACGGCACTCTAGCCCGGGCAACAGAGCAAGACTCTGCCTCAAAAAAAAAAATGAGATTTTTTGTTTGTTGTTCAAACTTATCTTGGGCTATCCCTGGAACAATTCATCATCCTTTAACTCACTATAAGCCTCAAGTTCATTAGCTATAAAATGGATGATAAAGTACACACACATCCTCATTAGTATGGTTCTTGCACATAGCACTCAACAAATGTTAGCTATCATTATTTTACTATTATTACTATCAGCTTCATTATTAAAGTTATCTTAAAGGATTGTTGTGAGAATTAATTTTAGTGATTTATGTTAATACTTGGTAATCAGTACGGAGTAGATGGTAAATAATTTTTGTTCCCTCCTCTTCCGTGCCCATTCTTCCACTTTACTGCAATCCTCCACACTTTATCATTTTCTGAGTATCAAAGAATTCAAATAAGTATAATAAAAAGAAACTTATTGTTTCAGAAGATAAAATGTTAAGGAGACGGCTGGCTGTGGTGGCTCATGCCTGTAATCCCAGCACTTCAGGAGGCCAAGGTATGAAGATTGTTTGAGGCCAGGAATTCAAGACCAGCCTGAGCAGCATAGTAAAACCAGGTTTCTACATAAATGTACAAAAAATTATCCTGGCCTGGTGGTACATGCCTATAGTCTTAGCTACTTGGGAGGCTGAGGTGGGAAGATCTCTGGAGCCCAGGAATTGGAGGTTCCATTGAGCCTTGATCACACCACTGCACCATCTTTGCCTGGGTAACAGAGAGACCCTGTCTCTTCAAAATGAAAAAAAAAAAAAATCAGTTTACTATTATCACTCTCCTTTGTTTTCGTTTTGTGACAGTAAATTAATAATACATAATTTCATTTTAGGGATTACCTGGAAGTCGCGTGAGGTATAGAGTAGATGATGTCCTGTTTCCTTACCCTGCCAGTATTTTTGATGTAGAAGAAGATTCTGGAAGAGTAACAACTCGAGTCAATCTTAATGAAGAACCTACAACAATTTTTAAGGTCAGTGTGTCATTTTTCTTATGTTATCTATTCAACATTTAGCCTTTGATTGAGAGTTTGGTTTCACAGCTAATAACACCTTTTTCTTTCCATTTTTCTCCTCATTAATCTTTTAAAATTACAAAACATTGTTTACCCATAGAAACTTAGAAAATATAGTTAAGTGAAAAGAAAAACATTACTTGATATTTTACATCTTGAAGATAACTAGAATTTAATATTTTGATCTCTATCCTTATGATGACATTCCATACAAATACAAGCATATAAATATATCCTTTCAAATAACATAATCTTAGTATTCATACTGCTTTTTCAACTCAATATATATTACCCACGCCAATAAGTAATGCCATTATTTTAGTGATTTCATGAGGTTCTATTGTATGAGTATACCATTATGTTTTTCTCTTTAATAACTTGTTGGATAAATTAGGCTATTTCCAATTTTTTTTTACAATACACTCTGCTATCCTGAAACTGCTTGTGCAGATATCATTTGTCACTTGCTGATATTTTTTCTTAATGAAGTATCAACAAGCAGAATTGCCAGATCGAGTTTATATTATATGGGAGGGGGATGATATGAGGTATGTATGAGAAAGAAGTCACCAAGGGATGTGAGGAGACTTCTGGGTATAGTGGATATGTTCATTATCTTGATTGTAGTGAATTGTGTCACAGGTGTTTATAGATGTCAAAATTTATCAAATTGAATGCTTTAAGTATGTGCAGTTTATTTATGCCAGTTTTACCTCAATAAAGCTGTTTTTTAAGAAGGAAAAAAAAGAATGTGCTCAAGGAGATGGTGATTAATGTGATGTGTAGTATATAAAAGACTGGACTTATAGATAATAATCAGGGAATTATACAAATCCAGAAGGCTGTACATTTATCCTATAACCCAACTGGGATTCAGGAACCAACATGAGCAACAAATTATTTTCAAGGACAGTCATGAAGATGACAGTACAAAGGATAATGTTCTCAGAACTATCCTTACACCAAAGTATTTAGTCCAACTAAATCAACAGCCTGCGGGGGTAATGTTCTTACTTCTTTTGCATCAGAATAATGCCAAATAGAGGTATTTTTCCCTCCTCTAAAGAATGCAATGCTATAATGTAGTTTCTGGGTTTGAAGTCAAACTCTACTATATACTAGTTCTCTGCTTGAGGTGTTTACTTGACTTCTAGGATTTAAGAAATTTATAAGCTCTTAGCACTGAAAAGATTATAGTGCTCTCACCCAGTGTCACCCTCTATAGTTCCAAATAAAACCAATCTAAGCCCTAATATAAGTGAGGATATCTGACAAAATTTTGACTGTTCCGTTATAATCACTTTGATTCTTTTTAAAAAATTATCAAATTTTAATTTCTTTTTTTAAAAATGAGATTTTTTTTGCCGGGCACGGTGGCTCACGCCTATAATCCTAGCACTCTGGGAGGCCGAGGCGGGGGGATTGTTTGAGCTCAGGAGTTCGAAACCAGCCTGAGCAAGAGCAAGACCCCGTCTCTACTAAAAAATACAAAGAAATGATCTGGACAACTAAATATAT